AAGGACGTTTCTGCTGGTGTGTTACGGAAGAGCCAGGAAAGTAGAATAGAAACCAAGCGGAACTCTGAAAATCCTGGCCTCTTGAAAGTAAAGTACAATTCAGGAAATAAGGATGATTCAATTTTCAATTCAATTTCACACTAAGAAACACATCCTATAGTTTTTGTATTATGCGGAATTATACATAAAATTGTTAAGCAAATAAGATAATGTAAATATTAATGGATTCAGTGTCTTAAACTCCATGAAATTATAAATCTAAGAGAAACCCTTTGGCTGGTAATGCAATGTGTCACACACATGCTGGGAATGTTTATTGTCATTCTCTCATACCAAGTGATTCTGGTTTTATGCAGCATTGTTTGAAAGTGTTCCCTTCTTAACAGTAAGATGGAAACAAAGAATGAAATCTAAACAGCCTTTCATCATTGAAATGTACCGTGTAGTAGATTAATGGGCAGTATCATGAAAGGGAGGAGATTTAATTCCAACAAATTCAGCAAATTTAAACATACTGGTGCCAAGGATTTTTTTCTTCCAAAAGTGTGTACAAATGCCATCAACCTCTTGGAGTAGCTCTGGCTGGAGATGGCCACACTGATTTGGTGCAAAAGTTTTGTGAATCAGTGTAACATCTGTGACGAGTGGTCACTGCCAGATACTTCAGAGAGTGCTTCAATGAAAATAAATCGGACAATTATTGAATAACTTTAGAGATCAGGTGGACTTTAATTTACTAGTAGTTAATATCTCATATAAAGTAAAGGAGGAAACTCTTCTTGAAAAATGTAACTTGTGCTAGAAGTGTGCAGACCCTCAGGTTATCTCAGCGAGAAATATGCCAAATGATAAATGAGGAGGGCATTGGGAGGAGAAAGCAGCTTGAGAATGAAGTCAAATCAGAAAGCTTGTTTTGTGGAAACACAGTGGAGATCAGTGGAGAAAATGTCCCAGCTTCCTATTAGGGCCAATTTGCAGTTTTAATAGAAAATGAATAAATTAAGATGGTGACTGCTAAGAAAGCGAGCTTGATCACAATTTGTGGAGATCTAGTGTTGAACCGCTAAGGCTAAGGAAATGCAAACACATGATAGGAGGAAAGTCTGTGAGAGCTAAGCTGCCAGATTTAGGGGACGTGAGCAGGAGAAAGAGCACACTCCTTGAGACTTGCAGGAGTGAGGGTTAGGAGAAAGCTCCAGGCAGCTCATTCGAGGAAAGACTGGACACCAGTCTTAAAGTACAAAATCTGGGAGCCTGAGGGATTTATTGCTCTGCAATTAGCAATGAAGGAGGAAAGGATGTATAGAAGAGGTGATGAAGAGTAACTTTTTTGCTGGGGTGAATTACATTAGGGAGTCCCCAGCAGATAGAACTGGGAGGAAACAACAAGTTGTCCTTTCTGTAAGAATGGAATTATTCTTGAGAAAAAAAAAAAAATCTACTAGAACAAGGAGTGAGCTCGCTGGGGAGGGGATAAAATCTCAAACATGGTAAAAGGCCAGAGTTCAACCAGAGTGCCTCAAAGCCAGCATAATTAGGTTGCTTTAGCCCTTTTATAGATGCCCATTGGCTTTCTAATGAAAATCAAAGTAGTACAGGTCCCTTCTACAGAAAAGACCTAAGTAACCTGACCAGTTGGAAACGGTACAGTGGGGCTCTAGTCTCACCTGGTAACATGTCACATGTACTCCTCCAGACTGGTTTTCCTACTGAACAAAGAAATGTTGGGAAGGCACGCTCTGTCGGCATTTTTCTACTTATGCAAAATTTTACTTGGGCAATTGCGCTTACGTTTATAGCACATGCACTCTCTCCATGATTTTTTTCTTTACTGAGAAGTCAGCATGCAAGCAAATGGCCATTTATTACCATTTGGTAAACAAAATAAAGTGTTTGCAGAGATTTGAGATACTGGATTTGGGGTTGTACATTTTAAATGGAAGGCTTTTGAGTGTGCTTTGTTCTCTTTTCAGGTTTTTTCACATAGGGAAATTTTTTTTACAAAGCCAGTTTAAACTTGGTATATGTTCCATGTAGAAAAAAGGTAGCTGAAATCTGCAGTAATCACTTGACTTAAGGAGCTAGGTCTTTAAAAAAACCTAGAGTTTTGGGTTTGCGCCCCGGGATTACTGTGCAGACTCTTTTGAACATGTTCCACATAGTAAGTCAAACTGTGGAAGCCTCCTTGCTGTTGAGGCAGAGCTAGACATTTCTCAATTACATTGATTCAAAATTACATATTTATACAGGTTCATGAAATATTTATCAGCCTCAGCAACACTGCCGACAGGCTCAGTATAAAACATTATGGTAAAAATATTTAAGAAAAAACATCAATTTTAAGGTCACCAGAGAAGGACTCTCAAAGTACAGTGCTTTGCTTTGCCGCTGATTTCCAGCAAGAATTTGACAGAGGACTGTTTCTTGATCCATCCTGAAGAACAGATTCTTCTTATGGAAATACTGCAAGTCTGACTTGCTCCATATTAATTGCTTTTTGGAGTTAAAATAATCAGCTTTTATTATTAAAAGATTAGTCAGCATATGCTGATGTATCAAAAATGATTCTGATACAGGCATTTCTTAAAGAAAGAAAAATGTTACAGTATTTGAACCTAATTTAGCAAGATATGATTTTGCTGCTTCTTATATCAGTTAAATGCTGTTTATTTATTCACAAAAGCTTCCTTTTATCTCAACTATTTGCATCTTCCTTAACGCCAGTTTAGGTTTCCAGTGACATTTTCTAGTTTCTAATTACAGTTCAACTGCTGCTTGGATAAGCTGTGCAGTACTCAGATTATATTGCTCCTCCCCCATTTTGGCATTAGGACATCAGTTTACTTAATAGTCTAGATTTCTAGAAATATATTAGAAAGTGAAGTAGAAACTTAATGGTGAACAAGATACTAAAAGTATACAATTAGCATAGCAATCTTAAGGTATACGTAAGTATATATGATACAAATACACATATATATGTGTATATCGAGAGAGTGGATACAGTAATTAATATTAATTCAAATGATAAAAGAATCCTGGAGTGCATAAGGGTATCCTTAATCAGGTATGTACTTGCATTATAATCCTATTCCTGAAGCGTCTCTTCTGCTAACTATACACACAGGTCATGCTTATTTAATGATTTGCTGGCATTTTCTCTCTTTATACATATACAATATTCCTGGGAAAGTCTAAGAGAGCTGCACAAAACATGAACTGATACTTGTTCTTGTTTTTTTAGAAAATGAACCCAAGCAAGGAACTAACTTCTGGTCATTTTGATTTTTATCTGTTGCACATTTAGTGTACAGTTTTTGTAGTATATATTATTAGCATATAGTTTAGTATATACTAAGTAATACTAAATTACTAATACTAAGTATGCTTAGTATTATGTTAGTATTATATTTAGTATTAGTATACAGTTTTTGTTCTTACAGGGTGAATATTGCACTATGTATATATGTCCTGTCTAATTTATCTTTATGAAATATCTACATTAAAAATATATATCTATTCTTAAAATCTTCCTCTCTTAAACCAGAAAAAAAAAAAAACAGGTAAACCACCATTGAACAGTTTGTTCCATTGTTTGCAAAACACCTTTTTTTTTTCCTCTAAAATGAAATGAAAACATCTATTGCAAATTTTTGTTATCAACATGGCTCTAAATGCTAAGTAATGTATCACAATTTTGGATGGAGGTGTGTGTAAGCTATACAGTGTATTATGAATAAAAAGGAATAGAAATCTTATTCCCCAGATTGCACTGTGATACAGACTTTATTCCTGTATTGAAGCCATTTTCATGGGAAAAATTCATATATGCACAGTTCTGAATTGAATGGTCTTATTTCACTGCTGGCATTATCTCAGGAAAATCATTTCACATTCTTAAAAGATCTACAGTGCATTTTTTAATAACATAAATTCAGTTGGATCATTTAAGAACTCTGCTTCTTTAGTTTCTGTGTTTGATAGTTGAATGAAACAGCAAAAGCATCTTGGAAGCAGCCTATTTTTTTTATGTTTGCCCCCAGGAATTATTGTATTGCTGATTAAAATGTTACATGGCACCATGATCAGGCCCAGCATTTTACATTAATTTGTCTGCAAGTGGGGCCTAGTTTTGTGACTCTACAGCTGCATTGAGGGAAATGAAATGAGAGAACAAAGTTGTGTACTGCACGTGTTGTTTGCTAATGTGACAATGGCAGCTGTCGCAAAGTGAATTTTTCAGCCCTTCCTTTCCCTGAGAGCCCGGGAAAAAGATTGCTTTGTATCTTTTCCAAGCAGTTAAATGTAACTTTTAATGTAAAATCTAAGACTATTGTTGGGAAAGACTGTTGCAAATTTCTAAGGCATCTCTATAATTGCAAAAATAAAATTCAGCAGAGCAATAACAAATCTAACTTCAGAGTTAAATAAAGTGAATAATTGAATCACAGACATATTTTATACATGAGCCCTTAAAACTTGCACTACTGGCCTACACTCGTGTGTGGGTTTATAATACAGTCATTTTGTCACTTGTGTATTGTGGAAGCGGTTTACTTGCCAGTGATAACATAGGCTGCCTTTTGCTTTTGAATTGAGCTATCACAAAAGCTAGAAACTGTGCCCAGCCAGTGTGTAACCAGGACTGTAAATCTAAATAGGTCAGGTCAGTGTATTTGGAACAGTTTTTATTTGGTTAACCAGTACAGTTACAGGGCCATCATACAAGGATGGTTAGGCTTCCATCAGAGACAGGCATTGCTACGTAATCCTCGCATCATGTGAATGCTCATTCACATGGCGGGGGGCTTTGACGTTAGCTGAGGAACTGGCGCTCTTCCCAGAAGCAGCATACCTTGGATTTCATGGCTGAGTTGTTCTATTGCTCTTCTCCGTTACTGAGGTCCGTTGAATTGGACAAATCTTACTCATTCATCATGTGTTTGAATGAAGGAGGGCTGCTGTTCGGCTGGTCATGCGGGTGTAGTTGGCACTGCTGCTCAGCACGAGATGACCAGTGGGTTAGACAAGGACTGGCAACTCTGCGCCTTCTCCAGAGGCTGGCTTTGTAAGAGTTCACAGGCTGTCAGCTCGTGGTAAAGAGTATCTAGGACTTCAAATAGGTGGGCTTTTCCTTTTAAAAGAAAATTGCAAACATTATAATTTGAACAAAGACAGAAAGTTGCAGTTTAACAATCGTAACACAAGCTCTCTTCTTCATAAGTGCCATTTCAGGTAATTAACATAAAATGTCTAAATTTTGAGACCAGGTAATGAATTCCTGTCCCTATAAAAATGAGAGTGGAACTGGGTTCAAGGACTGTTTTCTCTACTGGTTCTCTTGCTTCATTCACTGCCCATTCACTGAGTTCTTGCATACTTGAGCAAAGACTATTTCATATCACAGTAAAGAGTTGCTAATCCAACCATCCACTTAGTCTTGTCAAAGAGGAAGAAGATGTTTGATTACAAAGACTTAGGAAAGCTGCGTAAGTCATATCAAGTGCATAGCCAGAAAATCGAAAGCAGAGAAGATGAGCCGTTTATGGCAACGGTGATGCAGAATGGACAGAGGGCTTCACAAGGTTACTTCACTTGTTGGTGTCATTATAGGAAGCTGAGCTGTGCTGCCATTACAGAGGGACGTACTTGTTTCAGCAGCATCACTTGGAGTCAGCGTTCCTGTGCACGATAAGTAGTAGTACCTTCTGGACAGTTGTGTGCTGTGGATACTAACAGTCTCCTCTTGTTCTCACCAGAAGAATATCTGACCTATGGCTCAGATACGGTTTCTCTCTGTGTTGGTGTCCTGGAGCCGACAAAGGTCTGTCTTTGCCTTCTTTTCTCTGCTTCCTCTGCAGCCATGCTGGAACAGCACAGCTTAGCTCTGGGCTGCCTGCGCCCTGAATTGCTGGACACTAGTAACAACAAGGCTTTGAAACTCCAAAACCCAGAATGGTTTGTATGTTATTCTCCCTAAATCACTGTTAGTAATATTCTCCAACATTAAACCCTCAAGCCACATCTAGTCTTTTATAATCTTGTCTTTGACTACTGTCTGCCTATTAAAAGCACCTCCAAGCCATGTTCTTAAGTTTTGGTACAGGGTGTTCATTTCTTGAAGGTAAGTACAAATGCTCTTGTAATAGGAACAAAGTAATCAAATCTAAACCTCCAGGCTGTAATCCCTGTATGGTTCCTACAAAAGCAGCTCTGGCACACCAGACCATTGTCAAGGGAGAGGAGCTTGCAAGTTTAATTTTCATAAGAGGAGCACAAAAGGCTATTATTAGAGGAGTGCAAGTTTGATCCGGTTTCTTTACAGAAATACTATGTTTTGTATATTTGTTTGCGTGGCAGCAGAGGAATACAACACACAGTGGGATAGCAAACCTGATAAATAGGTGCCTTACATACTTGATCATGTTTTCCACTTTCTCATATCAATGAAGCCCTACAGACATTAATGGGATACTGAATTGTTCCCCTTAGGCCAAATTCTAATTAGAATTTGGCTATAAAAAGCCCTGGATGTGTTCCTGTTCCTGATGTGTCACAGACTAGAAAGCATCACTTTCTCTAGGTAATCTTCTTGCATAGTACTTCTTTCTCCCTAGCCTGTGCCCCAGTATTTGACATATTTTTTCCTACTCATCGGTTCATTATCTAGTGTTTTTCCCAAAAGGACACTTTTCATGCTGCTTGGTCTTTATACGTGATTTATTTTCTTACCAGGTTGGGGGTCACGGCAGGATTCCAAAGTGCTCAGCAAGATTTTCCCCAAGGCTCGCTTAGATATGTTCTTTAAAAAACAAAATAATATTATGGCACAGATATGTCCTTCACCTGTTTAAATGTATGCAACAAAATCTACGTGCAGTGTATTCGCATTTGAAAATTAAACCAAAATGAAACTGAATCCTGATAACACAAGACCTGATACTGGCTTTGTTTTCAAGCATTTTATCTTAGATACTGCTCAAGTAATAGCAGTAATCTAATAGTTTGTGGAGGACTCCAGTTCCTTAATATGGCTCTAGAAAGACAAATTCAGTGGAAAAACCCAGAATTTTCCAGAGCGTGTGCCTAAACAAATCTAGATGGCAAGGAGCATAAGCAGGGCATGCACAGCAAAAGCTTGTTCAGTCCTCTGCTAGGCCTGTGTTGAAAGGTGAATGGACAGATTTTGAGGTGTAATCTCGGAAAGAGGCTTCTCAGACCCAGCTGTTCTAGCAATCATTGGGAACCACTTTAGGTATAAACAAATCAGAAGAGATTGTATGTGTCATGTGGCAGGCCCACTGTTAATTATATATTGAGATGTAATAAACATTAGCCAAAGGGAGAGGACTGTAAAAACTACTTAGGATTTGGATGGTCTTTTTCAGTGGTAGTTTTATATTAGAAATCTGCTGGGACATTACATAATGTGTCTGGAAAAACAAACTCTCTTAATTTGCTGTCAGGACACTAATGCGTGCTTTCTGGGAGATGCTCTTGCAATGAGTTTAATTAGCACTTAGAGTGCCCGTATCTGCAGGGACAGGTTGTTCTTGTTAAGGCTTCAAGAAGTGAAAATAGATGGAAGCTGTTCTGGAAGAAAGACGATGTACCTGCCAGCAGCCTAGGCAATACTGGCCTTGCTTACTGATGCTGGTCATCTGCCTTCTGCGTGTCTGCCCCAGTGGGGACTGGGGCGTAGTGGAAAGCAGTTTGCAGCGGGCTGGGATTACACATGACCTCTGCAACACAGTGTGAAGTTTTAATAGTCCTAACAGAGCATGCATTTGCCTTTGGACAGTCATTGGTTTGCAGTAGATTCTGTTGCAAATGAGGTCCTCGGTGTATTTAAAACACAAATGTGAATATGCTGGGGAAGTGACACCTAAAACCACAGTTTCTGATGAATAAGCTTTCTTTTGTATGAAGTATATCCCATCAGGGATTTAGGGGATCCTTGCTAAACTCTACTGGGAATGCTGTAAATTACCTTGTTTGGGGACAGCATCGTTGCCTGTATTGGTGCTATGGGAGTTGGCAGCATGCGGTGGCATGTTTCCAGCAACGGTTAGCATTAAGTGCTATTATTACTGAGATATGGCACATTGTGTGATGGATTGTCTCCTAAGCAGAAATGGTTTGCAATAATACACCTGACCAGTGAATGACATGTTGAAGTCTTGACACAAAAGGTTATTACGCTTGTTGCCACTCAAAGTCTTTACTAGTTTAATCCTTCATTGGATTGTTATTGATGCATGTGTCAGACTTGCAATATGAAAGCAGAATTTCCATGTCAAGTGCTAAAATAAGTTACCAAATTATGAAATATTGCACTTGTTCCCTAGAGTCATCAGTGGAACATGAGCGTACTTCAAAGTAAAGTGCTCATCTGAGGAAGCATTCTCATTAGGCAGAGCTTTGCCGAAAATTGAGGAGAACCCTCAGTCATTATCAAAGAAATTAGTTCCTAGCAGTCCAGTGTGGCTCCCAACATACTCCATGTTCTGCTGATTACCCAATTTGCCCGTCTTTTGGCCAGCCCTTACCATTATCATTCCCAAGCAGGAGATTTAAACTTATTTTCTGAAGGACTGAACTGCCATACTGGCCATGTACTTCCGGGATATTATTGCATCAGCTTTTATAAGTCCATGTTGAGATTATTAATTGGTTAAGAAACTTCATACAAAAAATACCTTATTGGTGTATAGGAAGGGGTTTTATCCCTTTAATACTGACTCAGCATCATGTTAGGATGCAGTTAAACAAAGGTCCTTTTATAGAAGGAAAAATAATCTTCTAGAATCTTTCTGATTACTAGCATTTTTGTTTTCCTTGTTTCCTCTAAAGTTTTGTTTAGACAATAATGAGAGCTTGGAGATCTAGATCCAAGGAGATCTCTAGGTTTCTTTTAGAAAGTCAGCCATAGGGGTCTAAAAGTTTTCTGCAATCACTGGGCAGTTCCCAGGGCAAACACATGTGAAAATGTGTCCTGGTGTGAAGGACTTTGTACTTAACAGAAGGTATGAACATCCTTTTTAGTTTGGAAAGGACACTATCAAAACCAGTTTTAAGTCTCTGGACTGCTTTCTTGCCATACCAAGTCTCGAAGTTGTTGAAGAAGCTGTAAAACATCCATGAGCTTTTCTTCCACCAGTGACAGCCTAACTCTCTCAGTCTCCAGCATCTGCAGCTCCATCTTCAACAATTCGGTCTCCTCCACCTTTTGCTGCAGTTCACCTAGCAATGGGCTTTTCATCTGGACAATGACATAGGAAATTAAAAGCACTAGAGCTTTTCACTTTTTTGCCCAATAATTGCAAAGCTAAGTTTTCCCCCTTATCTGGTAAATGTCAGTTCACTCCAGATGATTATCTTGAAAGGAAGTACATTTCTTTAACGTACTACATAAAGCGAAGAATCAGTAGTTGCTAGGAAATGCATGCTTTGCTCTTGCGCATAAAGGCAGTTCATTCAACACTGGATGCAAGCACATCATTCAGAAATTTTAAATACTAGCATTACTATTTCACTTTTCTAATCTTTTGCATTCCTGTCATCCTCTATAAAGCATAACTAATTTGTGTGCCCTCACCAATGTAATCGTATCTTTGTCTTGCAACTCTTACATATCGATCATCTGTACGGTCAGTGAAACAAGAAGGTAATTAGCTAATTTCTTTTAAGTACTTTGGTTAAAAAAAAAGTGTCTTAAGGTAAAAAATTTAAGATGCTGGTTCTGCAAAACACTGGTATGTGTGCTTCGTGAAGCATTGGCTTGCCGCTAAGCACAGAAAAGTCCAGATTCAACAAGACTTGTGAACACTGCAGAAATCCTGGGCAGGAGGGGTCTTCTCAGACCTTCCAAAGCTGAACTGACCTGTCAGTTGTCTCAGACCTCCCGGTGAAAAAACGTTCAGATTTGAAATGTTGGGTTTTTTCAATGCAAAATCTAAGTGACATATTTTGAACTACAAAGCTGCCACACCATTTGCAAAAGTAAGTGTCTTTGTCACAGACCCAGGCCTGTTGCAGATACATGGCCAATTTGCTAAAAAGAGCCTGAAAAGCATTCCCTGGAAAATATGTCACTTAAATATTAATTTTGGACCTTTGAGAGCACTGACAGATTTCAGGTTTATTAATAAAAGTAAACTTCTTTCTCAATCATTACTGTGCCCAGCATTCTGAAATGTTACCTTTTTTTACCATTCTGAAATGTTACCATTCTGAAATGTTACCAAATGTTTGCAATTTCTTGTTGCAAACACAATCTAAATATATTTATTAATACTACACTGAGAAGCAAAATCATGTGGGGTAAATGCCAAATTTGCTGGCTCTGTTAATCCCTTTTTGTTGTCGTCTTTTATCTTTATTGCAGTTCTAGAAATAACTAAGGAGAGAGTTGAACTTGAAAAGCTGAAGGCCTTAATATGCACACTGTTTAATATAATTTTTTGTGGAAATTTGTATCCTAATGAATTTTAATAGATGGGAAGGAACTTCAGTTCCCTAAAACACAAGTGTCAAGAGTGAAAAAAGAAAACAATCCCTGATGCACACCGAGCCTTCTAGAAGGTCATTTTAGTTTCTGACAGTGCTAATAGTATGTATTAGTTGGCGGTTATTCCCCCATCAGATGGAAGTCAGCCTGTTCCATTAGCTCTCTGTGAGCTTTTCCCTGTGAGGCTCTCCAGCCCCTCTGAGCTGTACAACAGCTACAGAAGTTTGGATCACTTAATCTGGTCCATCTGCCAAACAATGATTTCAGCATCCCTGTCTGAACACCCCTTTTAGATGAATATACTAACATTTTCCTGTATGGAGAGCCAACTTTGTTACCACCAATGTGGCAGCAGTCCAGCTGAGACATAACAAATACTCTAGAGGCTGTGGGAGGTCTTAAGGAATTAAACGTGTGGTTTCCTTTATTATATTGCAGATTGCCTCCGCATTGTAAATACCACCTGGCGTAGATATGTACTAAACACATGAAGTAGTTCTGTTCCCCTCTACAGCTGAAGCCGTGTCATATCAAATAACAGAGAGGAAAAAAGGTCATTATTTTTACGTGTAAAATAGACTTTCCCAATATGCAATTAGACAGATGCTCATGGAAATTCATAACGGGTGCCCATCTATCCTGGTCCTGCACCCTGTCAGGCCCCTGGACCCCTAATATCACTTATCTGCTGCTTTTAGGGGCTGCTTTAGTCATGCTGGCAAAACCGCCGTTCTCGGAAAGCTGCACAGGGGCTCCTCTGTCCTCCGCCGGCTGTTACTGAACGGCTGTAGCTGTGCAGTGGGTCTCACGTACAGCCATGAATAGGAGAAGTACAAACTTTTCTCTTTAGTATGCATGCCACTTGAGTTCTCCATAGTTCTCTAGTGTCATGACCAGCTGCTTAGTTTGTACAGGCAGCACAGGCAATATGCTTAGCCAAGAGTGCCACTAGTGATATTTGGACATAGTATTTGTTGCTACTGCTGCCTCTTTTTCCTCTTCATTTTGACTGCTTCTACAAAGCCCCTTTTGCTTGTGTTTCCTGTGCTATAGCTAGTAAACTGCTTTCCACAGCAGTTATACCTTAACAGCCACCTTGTCATCTATAAGGATGCCAGTTTAACTGATACCTTTGTTTCATTTATACGATTTATAGATGCATTTTTTGTCTTCTTATTGTGCTTGAAGGCAGTGGCTCAGTGTACCATTAAAACATTCTCCCAAATCGTTTTGCCTAGCTAGGTTACATCTAGCACCTATTGTTACCTTAACATTTGCAATAAGATAATGACAATAGTTAAGCATAAGCTATTTTTAAAACCTGAGGAGGGACGGTCAGTAGTTAAGTCACAGGGTTCAGAGGAGTGGGTTTTGTTCTTAGCTCTGCCAAAGTCCCCCAGCAGAGCCTGATTTTGGGTCTGTGCCTTGTTTGTGAAATGGAAATACTACCTCACCAAACACCTGTTTTGAGAAGAAGTCAAAACTGCTGATATCTGACCCTCTTGTAAAAGGGGGAGAATGCAATGGGGAAAATCTGAGCTCTGGAGTAGCGTGTACAAATATGTCTAGGACAATGAATAATTAATACGCAAAAATCCCTTAAGGAATGTAAGAGAAAATAATTCTATTGTATTTTCCACAGAAGTTAATGAAGCTTTCATATTAGAGCCATTTTTACAAGCAATGAACCCGAGAAACATTTTCAAAATGGGAAGAAAACAGTAACAGAACGGCAGAATGAAGTGCTGAACTGTGCTGTGCAATTTATCTTTTAAATCATTTCACCCTCAAAGGACTGGAGGGTGGCAAATGGAGCGCCGGTTTGTAGGAGAGGCTGCAGAGATGATCTGAGAAACAGCAAATCACCTCAAGAGTATCAGTAATTCTGTCAGGCAAATTGATAGGAACTGTAATGGAGGAGGGACTTGGTGAATACATAGATGAATATAGTGAAGAATCCATTAGATTTCTTTGAAAGGGTCTATGAATATATATGAATAATGTTAATCAGTTGATAGAGTGTATTTTGTATCTGCAAAAAGCTTTTGATAAGATTCATCACCGAAGACTCAAAAAAAAAAAAGTAACTGCCACAGGGCAGCAGCGCAGATCCCGCCATGGACTTAGAGCTGGTAAAAGGTAGAGCATGGAGTGACAGCCCAGGACTGGAGGTTTCACAATGGAGGGGGATAATCCTTAGGGTCTCACAAGGAGCTGGGTTAAGACCTGAGCTGTTCAGCATATTCATAAATGATATTTTAAAAAGTGAATGTCAAAGTGTGTAAGTTCGCTGTCAATACAATTTTTTAGGGGTAATCAAAACTAAAGCTGCCCGTGAAGAATTACAGCAGGAGTTCATGATATTGAATAGCTATGGGCAATAAAAGATTGGATGAAATTCAGTGTCAATAATGCACAGTAAGGCACGTAGGAAAGGTACACAATGTCGTACGTATGCAGTGGAGATGACTGCCACTCAAGAAGGAGATGTAGAAGAGCTGTAATCTCCTGAACATAGCTCAGCGGTCAGCAGAGATCAAAAGGATACGTGCTAGGAGCTATTCGGAAAGGAACTAGACACAAACCAGAAACTATGATTACGCCGTGAAGGGCTTGCATTTGAATACTAAGCACATTTTCAGTTCTTCTCATTCAAAAAGGGTAATAGAACTTGAAAAGTACGTGGAAGAATAAAATAGAATAACAGAAGTAATGGTTTCTATACCAAGAGAGCTGAGGCAGACTAGGAATGGTGATAACTTCTGGTAGTAAAAGTCTTTGGAATTATGAGGGACAGATCATTTGCTGATTCTCAAGCACAAAAATGAGGTGACAGTGGATGATCAGGCAGCAGATTTAAAGCTAACAAAAACAAATCCTCAAAACCTATTCTTTTCTAACTAGTATGTGGGATTCCTTGCCCTGAGATACTAAAAGCATCGCTAGTTTTAAAGAAAGTAAAGGGAAATTCATGGTCAATAGCTCCAATACTGGCCATTAAACGTGATACTCCATGCAACATCCAGTTCAAGATGTGTCTATCCCTAGTGTGTTGGGAGCCAGGTGAGCAATACCAAGGGGAAAATCCTCTGTACTTTTCTCATTGCTTTTCTCCCAGCAACTGCTGCTTGCCATTAGGCGCACGATATTAGGATGAACTTTTCATTTGACCCTGTATGGCAGGTCATAAACTAATTGTCTTTTTAATTAAGCTGGCAGTTTGTATGCAAGCTTTTATAGAAAATAATTGGCATTTCTTTGCAACACTACACTTGGCAGCCTATCACTTTTATTTTTAGAATGAACTCATGTTTTCTCCATCTATTATCCCCAAGTCCTGACACCTTCATCACCCTGTCTTCAGTAGAAACTATTTTAAAATGTTCGGTTGTTGGAAAGCAGAACCTTCTAGACATGACAAATTTCAGAACTCTTTTATCCCCTGGTTTTACAAGTCTTAGACTGAAGCAATTATTAATCGGTATTTGAGAGTGTTGCTTTTCACTTGCCTGCTGAGTTTGTTACTTGTTAGCTTTGTTGTTATCTGTCTAATTTTCAGCATTGAGCAGGTCCAAATAGAAGAATATAGAGCAATGTATAAGGTAGTTTTGTCAGGTCATCAGAGAAAGTGTTCTTGGTGGTTTATTTATTAAGCCAATATATTTATTTGCAAGTTAGATGAGAAAGAGCATTTCTCAGTCTTCCAATTTGCTTTGTGTTGATTACAGGAACAGTCACCTTTTTGAAAGGAATTACTTATTACTTGTCTGTCTGTTTTGTAGCATCAAAACCAATACCTATAACTGCACACACGATATAAATGCTGGCTAAATAAAAGTAAGAGGGTTTAAGAATAAATTTCTGACAGGCTCAAAATGATTCATCCTACTGATTTTAAATTCATGTTGCAGTGAGTTGGCACTATGTCTTATTCACCTCCCTGCTTGTCTTTAAATCAAGAGCAACAGATTCCATTTTTGTCCTGGAATTAATCTGTTGATAATGGTACTTTTCTGAACAAGGTGCACAAAACTAATATCCATCAGCAGAGATTAAAAAGAAGGCAATATGATACTGCAGAAGATGAGTGCCTCTGAATGGAAAAAAAAGGAGAAGAAGAAAACTGGCACTACCTACAAGAAGGTAGTTCCTTCTTGTAGGTAAAAGAATAAATACAGTTTTTTGTATGGGCTGATGTTAAGCAGTATAGAAGGAAGCTTTGTGTTGCTCTAAGGAGTATTACAGGAATAAATTGTCATTGAATACTGCAAATTGTGTAAGACACAAGTATGATTTTATTCTGGTTTTAAATTTTTTTCCTCCCAAGTAAACCCTTTCATTTAATTTAGTCAAGGAGAAAAATGATACAAAATACTGATAAAAATCAAAGGATGGCAACATGTAAAGAAGTTGAATATTTTACTCTTCCTTTAAATAGTTTACCGATTAATACAATCCTTCCAGAGCTACTGAAATCTTTATGCTCTTTTTAAAGAAAGGGTATAAAATACCGAACAAGCACTAACTGAACCTTAAGACAAAGCAGACCAAAGCAATGCATAAGATGCACTAGATTTTTGTTTCACAGAATGATTGCTTGCATTTAAATCTACGCCCATCAATCGCTGAAGTTTGCAGTATTTAAATAAAAAAAGATCACATGGGACTACCAGGATAGTGCACTGAGGCTTTTAACTGCTGTCGTGCTGAAAGAAAGTTGAACATGCTGCTAAGCCTGAGAACGAATTTTTTTTTTATTTATAAATATATCTGTCTGAGCCTGAGACCCAGCCAGAGTAAGCTGTATGATTTCCTCCAAAGGCTTCCAAAACGGTGAGTCCCTGCATCTCAGTCAGCTGGAGGGATTTCTTGAAAAGTTACTGTGCTCCCAGAGGAGCTGGATGTCTTAGGACACGAGGAGTGTTTCATCCACAGCTGAGGAACCACTGAAAGCTGCCTATAGTAACCCTATGGCTAATGTGCGTGCGGTGGTATCAGTCCCAAACATAGCATCAGTGAACATCTTAAACCATTTAAATGAAGGATAGTATTTGAGGAGCCTGTGTCTGACTGTGGCTGGTGTACATCTCATCCTCCAAACAAATGGAGTTTCAGTAGGAACCAGACTAGAAAGGCGGGTGTTACAGGAAAGCATGAGATGTTTGAGCTGACTAACGGCACAGTAAGAAACATCAGCAACAGAGAGCGGAATGGCCAGAACAAAATATAAATGCTTATGTATATAAATGCAGCTACTTAAAGATACATAAATAACTCTTTCACACTCTGCTTGGCACCTGTTACCTCTTCCATATTTGTTTCCAGTTTTTTCACTTCATGCCCTTTAAGCTCAAGCTGTGCAGTTAGCTGTGTGGTTCTCTCTGCGAGCTCCGCAGGGGCTGTTTCGTAGCCATCAGCATTGGTGGTCTCCAAGTAAGACATTAGCTTTTTCCACATTTTTTCATCACATCTATATATAAATTAAAAAAAAAAAAAAAAGTTAGTGAAACCTCACTATGAAGGTCTATGTTTGTAAAAGCCAGTTTTCCTGCAAAACTCTTGGCAGCACAGATCACAAATTAGTGTCCTAGCTGACACTAATTAGGGGTAAGTGGGAATATCAGCATGTTGTTTCCCAGGAGCTGTAAAGGATGGGCAAAGGGGCCTGCTGGTTTTGCTATATAGTATTACTGCTTCTTACTGAAGCCATGGTGCCTTCAGGTCGTGAAATAATCTTTGCAAAGGGCTCAAAGAGCATTAATTTCAGAAACGTACCCGCTGCCACAGCAAGGGAGCTTGGCCAGTATTTTCTTCATTTGGTCCACCTGGGATGGCTGGTCTCCTGCCCACTTCTCCTCCTCTTCATCAGAGGCAGCCTGGCCCTCCACGGAGCGGAACAGCTGATCCTCTGCTCGAGAAACCAACAACCACTTAGCAACAGAACAACAACCCCCATGTGCTGCAGCTGTGGCAATTTAAACTCCTGAGACTGAGACAGGAAGAAGTCAGATTTTAAAAACCCCAGTAAAATACAGCGCGGGGTCCTTCAGCATCCATGGAAAGGGGCTTTAAAGCTAAGGCTAAGGGAGCCCCAGCAAACATCATTATTTTAAGTCTTGAATACTTCAGTACTCTCTTGCAGGTAACTTGTAGCTATTTCACTTCAATTCTTTTCTTTCCTTTAATAACTATAAAGTAAGGATAAGCGTGAAGGATCAGTGTGTTATTAAGGGGGGCAATTACCGTTCATGTATACAATTGAATATACACTTTTCAAGAGGAATGAGAAACCATTGTACTGTGTAAGATTTTTTTTTTTTTTTTTTTTTTGCATAGTCATTGTACCAGCTGAACACATATTCAAAGTGCAGGAATTTGATATAAAAGTTTCTAATTCATTCCCTTACTGTGTTTTGTAGGGACAGTGATTTTAATATATGAATTTAATATTCGACGTATAGCTATCTAATGTTTAGTTACATCTTTTTTTACCTAAACCTAATATCTCCTCACATGCCAAATAAACTATAAATGAACTGTCTACAATACATGTAAAAATACATGTACTATTACAGTAATATTTCAATACTTTTTTTAGCTGTATCTTATAAAAGCTATTGCTTTTAACTCCTTTTTATCACAAGAAGATGCTTACTGGGACCTAGAGGTTTATTATGATGCCTGTAACTTTCTGGGAGTCTTTTGAAACATTGAGTACCTGAAAAGCACTGGTCACATCTTTATTCTGAACACTTATTTTGAGTTGACATCAGGTTAAGCCAATGTCAACATGATTTTAAATTTTACAATTATTTACCTTAATCACTGTCAGTTAATTAAACAGGTTTAATGAATTCTAACAGAGTGATCAAGTCAGATGCTGTTATTTCTCCAAATATTGAAGCATATTTGACTTTAGGTAGCATTACAAGTGTTGCACATGTTTAGCTCATTCAGCACAGGAGAGGTGGGCTCAAGGGGATGAGTCGCCCAGCAGAGACTGTCGGGTAGATGACTTTCTGTCTCACGTCAAGGACACGAGCACCGGCAATTCAAGCTGAAATACCATGTCAGTGGTGGCTATTCGAAGGACTCCCCAGCCCCGTGGCAGCAGGCAGCGAGCGGTCGCTCACGCCCGTGGTGGTCGGCAGGACCCCTTCAGAGGGCAGCCGCATTACAGCTCTGTGGGAGCCCCTTGCTGCTGGGCTGGCTGCCAGCCCACACCGCGGTCAGTCCTCTCTCGGGGCTGTTCTCAGCAACAAAGGAAAAATGGCTTTCTTTTGGGTAACCCTCAGCATATGTTTGTTAATGCCATTTTCATTCCAGTAGCATTCAATGTGCCTAATTTATAGGTTATCATGTTCAGTAATTTATTGCCTAAGCAGGAACAAAGCTCAGTTGCATGCAGTATTGCTCTTTAATTAGAGAACGAATGTCTGCATTTTCATGGCAATCCTTACACTGTGCAAACTAATTTATTAGAAGCGCTTTCCTTCTGTGAGGCTTTGCATGGCCAAACAAAAAAAAAAGACAGACTTTCTATTTTCAGTCTGTAATACACAAGTAGTGAACTTTTTCTATCATCATTTATTTTCTTGCCATAGGAGTTCAAAGGGATAACAATCAGAGTTTACAACGGTTGTGGCAGCCATGAGAACTGATCGCTCAACACTATGGATTCCTTGAAGAGCTTCAAACTGGTATGTTTAATCCAGTAAATTAATTGCAGCATCTGGCATAGCAGACACTCAGGTTAGGTTTTTAAAAATGGAGGAAAAGGCATGTGAATCTCAAGCTGTCTTCAGGCTAAGGTATCTAAGACACTTGTAATGCTTGCTTCCCCTCCCCACCCC